CCAGAGGACTAGAGGCTTGCGAGGAGCATCTGCTTGTGCTTCAAAGAACTAGTACAAGAAAAGGTAAATTATACGTGAATTTCCGTATCAATATTTATAAATTGTAAAAATTCAGAATATTTTAGACTAAGGAAAAGTGAAAGTGCGTCCAACCCAAAATTTATATGAAGTAAAGAGCCAAAAGTAAATGTCTACTCGAATAATTTTAATATTTTAATATTTTTTGAAATTTTATTAATTTTTTTTTCATTTTTTCTTTTCTTCTCTTTTTTTTTTGTTCCTTTTCTCTTCTTTTCTTGTGGCCGACGGAGGGAAAAGGAGAAAATATATAAAAAAAAAAAGAGAGAGCAATTTTGAGCAATGATGAAAAGGCACTAAAAGTTCAATGGGACAAGAGGGTAAATGGGATCTGAGGAGTTGTGAATGCAGTGTCCTACATGCATCCCAACTATTCTCGTCTGTTGATTTATGGAGACTTGACTAGTAACAACATTCTATTAGACGGCTAATTGCCAAACTGTTGGGGCTAGATTCATCAAATTGGATTACTATTGCTAGCACGATCGACTAACTGAGTAACCGGACTCCGCCAGCGATCCACGTTATATCAATAATATCCAAAAATCGAGATTCATTTCACGCATGTAATCGGTTAACCAGGCAATTAAAGACTAGAATTGAGGCAATTTTTTTTTCTCGTTAATCCAAAAATCAATATGTGACAGCATACTTCCGTTGAAGGGTGTTTTGGTAAATGATGCTTTTCCGTGTCAAGTCAAACTTGGAAATAACAAAGAGAAGGAAAGAGCGGGGGTTTTCCACCGTGCCGTGCCGTGCTTGCTGGTCCTCGCACCGAAAGTCCAACTTGGACAAGAGTTCCTACCGCATAGCGTGCAAATTACTGCATACTTGAAGAATGAATTACTGTTGTATTTCGGTAATTAATGAAATATTCAAGAGTCTTCATTCCAGGTTGCATGTGTATTAGTACTGTATAACATTGGATGAAAATGGGGAGGGGAGCCTGTCGCCGCCCCTACTTCGCTCGCATCTTCCCCTACGACCCATATTCGGGGGCTCCCGAGGGCTTCATTAAACTCACCGTGCTTGTTGCTTCCCAGTCAAATGTTTCGGCTTTCAGCTTTGAAATGTATCTTAACTGAAGGATAATCCATAATCAAATTTCTACATGGCAGTTTCTTGCCTAACAAGTTGACTTTGATCGAAGTCGTGCAATCTTGTGCGATGGTTTAGCATCATGGCGGCGACTAGGTAGTTAGTCAGTCGCGAGGATACTTACATTACGTACACATCTGTTAAGCACCGTTTATATTGAGTTGACAAGCAAAATAGCTGCAGAAAACTTCTCTTCGTTGATTTAGCACCAAAATCTTATTTTATTCTAACTTAAGTGGGAAAAAAAAGTGTTTTCAACGAGCAAGGAGTGCCATTTACCATGTCCATCAGACTTGTTAGTAACTTTCTCCGATGGGGGACAACATTGGAAACAGTACCTCGCGCCCGGCCAGTTGGTGGTGGCCCCCTTCCACGCACTTGATAAAAGAAAGAGAACTTTTAACCATCTTTTTTTTTAATCTTTTTTCGTTATCCTTTCATGTCGCTCTTCCTTGTAGTATCCTTGTCCCGCTTTTGCATGTCGTACTTTATGAGAAAAATGATAGATAGTCATTGAATATTCATAAATTTTTTAAATTTTTGTACGTTGCCGTATTTTATATAAACAATACAATAAGACAAGTATGATTACGAGTTATGACTTTTTCCAGTAGATCATAGAGTTAGAGGTACTCATTGGGGCTCAAATCTGGGGTTTGACCTTAAATTTTTACCTAAGTCGGTCCATCATAAAGTTTGGCTCGGGCCCAACATGTATAACATGACAGATTCCATGACTCACGAGGAGGAACTAGGCCCACAATGACTGGGAGAAGTAAGCGAGGGACATGTCAAGAAAAGAAAAAAAGGGAACGACAGCTTAAAAAGATTGAGGACATTGCAGCACGATGACGCCTTCCCATTGGATCCACGATTTTTCATTACTTTAATAATTGAGTTCGATTAGATTCGATTGTCCAAGATGGATGCCGACATAACTCAAATAGAAAGTAATTTGATGGAAAATTGACACAAATGGTTCATAAACTTTGATTCAATGTGAAATGCGATCCTTGAACTTTTGATTTATTCAATGTAGTCCTTGAACTTTTGGTACATATTCAATTTAGTCCCCGAACTATATGAAAATGTTAAATGCTGTCCTTGATCTTGAATTAATAGAAGGATGACACTGGATATTTTCATATAGTTTAGGGATTATATTAAACATGTCCCAAAAGTTCAATGACCACATTGAACAAATTAAAAGTTTAGAGACCATATTGCATATTGAGTGAAAGTTCGGGGAGCACATTGAATAAATGAAAAGTTTAGGGACTATTTGTGTCATTATCCCTAAATTTATTCGAAGCTTGAGCTCAAATGTTGAAAATACTAGAAAATTGAGAAACAAATTTTTTTAATCTATTCCTAACATTGACAATTGTGAATTCGATAAATGATATTGTTCATTTAATTGTTACGTTGTTAAATAGATACTTAAGCTCGAACTTTGCCCAATTAATTTGTTTTTAATACTGCACCACAATAAGCATATACTTATGAGTTAACCAAGTTACTTGACTCGTTTTCAATCGTATTAGTGACCTCTTGGCTTTGTATCTTCGGAAGATTATTATGAGATAAGCATGGGCGGACGCATCAAGAATTTGATTTTAGTTTCTTTGTGCAACAATATTGTCAAGCCTCAAAAATTGATTAAAGTATCTTTTTTTGTATAAACACCAATTCGGATGGAAAATAAAAGATTATACTAGATATTAGAAAGTTTCAAGAATGTTTATGGCAATTTTTAAGCATATAATTTAAGAGACTTTTTAGTTAAGCTTTTTAAAAAGCAAAAGGCAATTTTTTTGCTTTCCCATCGTCAAATTTTGAAATATTACTGAAATTTCAAAAATTTATAGAAAAGATTATATCTGAATTTAAGGATCAATATTTGTATATTGTGTAAATTTTGCATGTCTAGATTAAGAAAAGATGAGAGTGAGTTGCGAAATTTAGATGATTAGATGAAGTAAAGAGGAAAAAAGTAAATGTCTATTCAAGTGATTCTAATTTTTACTACATGATCTTCATATAGACATTACAACTGCGCACAGGTTTAAACTCATGGATTGGTTAAGTGATTGCATTGGTGCTAAGTAATTTTTTGATGGATTATGAGTACTAATTAAACATTATCTATTTATTTATCTTTACTGTCCTTGAAGATAATCAATAGAGTTGTCAATTTATCATGGAAATAACAGAGAAGAAACTGATATCAAAGTTCCGTTTCTTTCTTAATCATGGCTTTTCTGCACCACAACCACAAGGCACAAGCAGGAAGTCCAACGCTTCCTTAATTTTTTGTCTGAAATGGTCTGAACTCAATTTTCAAATTTTCCAAATTAAACCCTAATCCCCCAAATTTCCCAAATTTCGCGATAGAACTAAACTAGTCCAATCATGTTCTAGTGGGTCAGCACCACGCCTTTCAACTTTTCCCATAGTCGTCGTTCCCGAGGAGTGCAGGATCGCTGCCGTGTCCGATTTCGAGACATTGATTTGGTCAGGAACGCTGGTTTGAGCCACCACCTTTGTTAGGTACTCGAACTCCGGCGAGTCCATCAGAACCATTCTGAGTCGGGGGGAAGCGCGGGAAGTCAAGGCTGAGGCGGGAGCGAAGAGAGGAAGCCAGAGACCGGACTCGGCGATGATTTCTTTCTTTTTTTTTTGTTCAAAATATGACTAGTGATTGAGTCTCATCGATTGTTACTATTTACTTATTATACCCAATTGGCACACACTAAACTATTTGGAAAAAGGAAAAGACATTATCTTTGCAATATATCATCAATCACGAAAAAAAAAATTAAAAAAGTTGTTCAAGAAAGGCCCCATTCGCGGGAAAAACTGACTAGCTGTAAAAGGCATTGACCTTCACTGAGGTGCTTGACGTTCCATTTATATGTATGTCATGCATCTTGTTATCAATATGTGTAGACCTGAGCCATCTCCACCCTCCCAAATCGTGGCTTCTTCCTTATTGCTGTCCATCATGTCTCCTTTACGTGTCTTCTTCTTGTTCTTCTTGCTCTTCTTGGTCGACACCACTTCATCTCATGGGGCAGGCTTTTCTGCTTCCTCCACTTCTTTTCCCACTATCAATACGACTGAGTTTAAAGACGAAGCAGAGGCTCTCCTGAATTGGAAATCTACTCTTGAAAACCATAGTCAATCTCTCCTCTCTTCATGGCACAGCGACAATCCTTGCGGCTTTACCGGTGTCGCTTGCGATGGCCTCGGAGCCATTACCCATCTAAATCTTTCCAATCTCGGTTTGAGAGGAACTCTAGACGGCCTTGACTTCTCGCGCTTAACCAAGGTGGTTAGCTTTAAATTTGCCAACAATTCGATCTTTGGTTCCATTCCCTCAAGTATAGGTAACCTTTCCAAACTCAACTATCTTGATCTTTGCTTCAATGAACTGTCTGGGGCAATTCCTCCAAGTATAGGTATGCTGGAGAGTCTTCATTGTTTGTTCCTATGTGCAAATAACATTTCCGGTTCCATTCCGATAGAGATAAGTGGCTTGAGGAATTTGGAATTTCTTTACATATGGCGGAATGGACTTTCGGGACTTATACCTTCGGAAATCGAGAGGCTCACTTCTCTGATTAGACTCTGCCCCTATCGTTGAACAATCTCGGCTGCCACTTTCTCGTTCCATCGAAAACTTGACGAGTTTATCTCTTCTTTACTTTTATGACAATGGACTTTCGGGACTCATACCTTTAGATATATGAGGCCTCGCTTCTCTTACCAACCTTGATCTATCGTCCAACAATCTCGCCGGCTCACTTCCTTGTTCCATCGGAAACTTGACGAGTTTATCTGTTCTTCATCTCTTCGAAAATGCACTTTCGGGACCCATACCTTCAGAAATCGGGAGGCTCACTTCTCTTACCAACCTTGACCTATCAGCCAACAATCTAAGCGGCTCAATTCCTTGCTCCATCGGAAACTTGACAAGTTTATCTCTTCTTCACCTCTTTCAAAATGGACTTTCGGGACCCATACCTTCAAAATTCATAAGGCTCACTTCTCTTACCAACCTTGACCTATCGTCCAACAATCTCACCGGCTCACTTCCTCGTTTCATTGGAAACTTGACGAGTTTATCTCTTCTTTACCTTTCACAAAATGGACTTTCGGGACCCATACCTTCAGATATTGGGAGGCTCACTTCTCTTATTCATCTTGGTCTATTATCCAACAATCTCACTGGCTTAATTCCTAGTTCCATCGGAAACTTGACAAGTTTATCTTTTCTTCACCTTGGTTACAACAAATTCTTTGGTTCCTTGCCTTCTGAACTTAATAATTTAACACGTTGGACAGTTTTTCAACTATATAATAATGAACTAGAGGGGGAATTACCGGGAGATATATGCCTTGGGAGATCATTGCGATATTTCTCCATCAGCAATAATCAGTTTACAGGTCCCATCCCAACAAGCTTAGAGAACTGTAGCACATTAATTAGATTGAGGCTAGATGAAAACCAACTTACTGGAAACATAACAGAAGCTTTTGGAATATATCCACATCTATATTTTATTGACTTGAGCCACAATCATTTGAATGGCAAACTTTCGTGGAAATGGGCGCATTGTCGTAATTTGACGAGCTTAAGCATGTCAAACAACAACATTTCTGGTGGGATACCCGCAATATTTGGAAGGATGGCTCAGTTGCAGTCACTGAACCTTTCTTCAAATAATTTAAGCGGAGAGATTCCAAGGGAATTGGGCAGCTTGTCGATGTTGTTTAAACTCGATTTAAGCAGCAACTCAATTATGGGAAAGGTCCCGACTGAGATTGGACGTTTATCCCATATAGAATATCTGAACTTGGCATCAAACAATTTAAGCGGATCGATACCGATACAGCTAGGCTCATGCAAAAGCTTGTTGAGCTTGAACTTGAGCAGAAACAAATTGTGGAGAAGCATTCCTCTTGAGATAGGCAACGCACAGTTCCTTGAGGTTCTTGACTTGAGTAATAATTTGTTGATTGGAAACATACCGGGAGTACTTGGACAATTGATAATGCTGCAAGTTCTAATTATCTCCCACAACAGGCTTTCTGGTTCTATTCCACATACTTTTAGTAATATGTCAGGCTTAACTTCCGTTGATTTATCCTACAACAACTTGGAAGGTCCTCTCCCAAATGTCAAAGCTTTCAATGAGGCTCCATTTGAGGCAATTCAGCATAACAAAGGGCTCTGTGGAAATGTCGTTGGCTTACCGAAATGCAATTCTACCGAGAGCAAGAAACGCAATCGATACTTTGGAGCAAGAATCATAGTAATCCTCATTCTCTCGTTCTTGGGGTTTCTCCTTCTCTCTTGCACCTTGATCTTTCTTGTAATCATCAATCATCATCGAAGAAAGATTATCAAGAGAGGCAACAATGAACAGGCAAATGATTTGGATTTTTTCCGTATTTTGAGTTATGATGGCAAAGTTTTCTACGACCGAATCGTTGAGGCCACGGAAGGATTTGACTCCAAGTACTATGTGGGTGAAGGAGCATATGGAATCGTTTACAAAGCCGAGATATTAGAAGGTCAAACGATTGCTGTGAAGCAAATCTCTTCATCCCAAGAAGATAGTGAGATTGTTGATTTGATACAATTTGAAAGGGAAATTCAAGCCTTAACAAACTTACGCCATCGCAACATCGTGAAATTTTATGGATTCTGCTCTCATGTCCAATGCCGTTTTTTGGTGTATGAGTACATGGAAAGAGGAAGCTTGAGAACAACTTTGAACGAGGATGAAAGAGCAAAAGAATTTCAATGGGACAAGAGGGTAAATGTGGTCCGAGGAGTTGCGGATGCATTGTCCTATATGCATCACGAATGTTCACCTCCGTTGATTCATCGAGACTTGACCAGTAATAACATTCTATTGGATCGCGATAATGAGGCTCATGTTTCCGATTTTGGCACCGCAAGGCTATTGAGGCCAGATTCATCAAATTGGACTAATATTGCTGGCACTATCGGATATATTGCTCCAGGTATTTCGTAATTTGTTGAATTTCGATGGGCATCCTGTGTCAGATATCCGTTCTATAATTGAACTTTCACTAGTCCTTTAGTTATTTAATCTTCTTATAGAAATTAGTTTACTAATTTAGAGCTTTCAAGTTCAATGTTGATCAGAAAGCTTTCCTACTTCCCTGGTATGGAAGAATTAGAAAAAAATGCGGAAAAACATCATAAGCGATTCATTTCAAGTATATCAAGTTCGTTTGACCTAAATGATGCTCGTACTTTAAGGGTCAAACAAAATCCTTTGAACTTCGCTGAAGCATATACTCCATGCTCAAATCAATTTTACTTGTAATCATCACGTTTTGGGAAGCATTGTTGTCAACTTGAATACAGCTTGTGATCGAGCTTTTAAAAAATTATATGATTTGTCGACTTGCAGAGCTGGCTTATTCTACAATTCCTACCAAAAAATGCGATGTGTATAGCTTTGGAGTCGTCGCATTAGAGACAATCATGGGAAAGCATCCAGGAGATCATGTATTTCAGGAATGTTCATCGTTTACCCAAATTGAGTCACCGATGTTGTTGAAGGATGTGCTGGATCAACGTCTCTTGCCTTCTAGACTTCGTCTTCAAGATGCGCAAGATGTGGTCTCGATCGCCAAGCTAGCATTCGCGTGCTTGCAAACCGATCCACGGCTTCGACCGACCATGGCACAAGTCTCGCGTGAGCTTCGCGTTCAAGTACCACTAGAAATGCCACTCTCTGCAATCAACTTAGAGCAACTTCGCGATCTCAGTGTAAGGAAATTTGGAGCATTTGCAGTATATGGTGAGTTTTGAATTTGCTTTCCACGTGTTTTTTTGTTTGGTTCGTAATAATGATGACCATCGCCTTATAAATATCTTCTTGGTTCGCACTCATCCCAACTATGTGATTTATGATTTTCACTGCAGAGCTAGCTTCTCTTTGATCGTTATAAAAAAAGTGCGATGTTTATTGTTTGGAATCGTGGCACCAGAAATAATAATGGGAAAGCTTCCGGGGAGATCTTATTTCACAATTATTTAGAATTTTTTTTAGAGTAATTTTGAAGTAAATTTGCAAAATGCATTGGATCGACATCTATTGCCTTAGATGTAAAGCACGTGTGGTTTCCGCTTCTGGAAGAGATAATGATACTAGTTATCTGTGAAATTTTATCAAAGTGGAATATGTGAACTTTTAATTTACTCAATTAAATCACTTTTGACTATATTTGCATTATCATTCCGGAACTTTCAGCTTGCTCAATTTCATACTACAATCGGATCTAACTAATTTCCATAATCAATAAGCATAAGTTGTACATTCAAACTTATGGAGCCGTTAAACTAGTAAAACTGGACAGATTTCATATTTTCTTACACAGAATCCATTCTCACTTCATTAAGCGTCAAATTTAGCATCTTTGAACCATTCTAAATTGCGTCTACTTAAGGCCATTTCATTATCTTGGGTAATGAGAAGATTGACGTAACTGTGTTTGTGTCTTTACCAATTTCATTGTTGTCAAACCTGTCAAAAGCTGGACCTGGTTTCAGCATCATCCCTCTTTGGCTCCGCACTCATTATCGCCACCATTGCCTCTGCATGTTCGCTTCATGAAGGTGACTACATATTTCATGACTCGTTGTTGGAGTTGAGATGTGGGATTCTGCACGTAATCTCTCTCCCGTCTCAATGATTGTCTGCCGGTAGACTTTAAACTAAGAAATTTCACTTTTCAAATGTCTAATCCCAAAATTTGAAAATCTGGACGGCAACAAAATTAAATTCAACAAAATCAAGAGGTCTCGCTCTTCTTGAGACATCTACCACCAAGTTACGACACAAAGATGCATCATTTTGCGACAAATCGATGAAGAAATTCCCAAGGTCAGCACCCAAAATCACGCATGCAGCAATTTAGCGATTCTCCCCTCCATTTTGCTTCAAATTGGTTTCATTTTTCCTTCCTTGTTTTCTCTAACGGCCGTGTAAGTGGGAAGAGGAAGAATCGATGGATTAACACTTTGTCACTTTTCTCCACTAATTTTTCATGCCATGTAGATTGGCTGGCCACTTTAACTTTGGGTTTAAAAACAATTTGCAGTTTCTTTCTTTAGGAGTCTAATTGCTACAATCATTGTTACTTTGGGCCCCGCAAATTTGTAAAGCACCTGGGCCGCTTATACAATTTCCAGACGAGTTTATTTTAGGTCCTACATAGATGAAAATCAATTTTAATCTCATTCAATCACGTATTCGAGCACTTATCATCACAATCACGTAAGACGTCGATTAATTGTTGACATGCCACTCGGTGTTAAAATTTCAGATATTGCACTTGCATTGTATATAGATAGAAAACAACCCATCTATATCTATACCAAAAACGTAAAGGGCCATAGCATCTCTCGGTCAAATAAAACTGTGACATCCTCAATCCGACACCGACTATTTATGCATCATTGGATTTATTCGATCTCATTTAGGCATCAATCAAGAAGGTAGGGCCATCATACCACATTGGACCTTGATTAATCATTATAATGTTGCACCTTATAGTACAATGTGCATGATTGGTGTCCTATGATTTATTAAACTATAGTTTTAATTTAAGTGCAACTTCTAGAAACCTTGATTGGGATGAGACAAATTTTGGTCTTATCCTAGCTGGCTTGGGCGCCACTTTTTGGGGTAGACAGGAGAAGAAGGCCACTTGGTCAGCTTCTAGAATTGTTTCCCTTAAGCCTTTAGCGTGTGCTCTTGTCTTGTATTGACGAGACTTGATGAAGATATTTTTTAAAGGCTAGGCTAGCCTAAGCTTAGAGCCATTGAGTGCAAGTAAATTATTAGTCTCTCTCTCTCTCTCTCTTGCAAGAACACTTAAGGTGATAACACTCTCATTCCTCTCATTTCTCACTCTCACTCAATCTCATTTCTCTCTTCTCTCCATCTCTTCTCTCCCTCACTCACGCCACCACCATCACTGGCCACTATCACCACCACTGCTCGCCGCCACCACCACCGCTGTTCCAGCCACTTGACGTGTCGTCCGTGCCTCACCAAGCTGAGCCGGTCACCGCTCGCCGCTGTGTCATCCATATGGTGTTGACGCTCATAGTTTGAACGGTTTAGTAAATGGTTTCTCTAAACCTTGGCTAGGGCGCTATTCTACGCATATTGGTTTTAGGTTAGCCTTGTTTGAGCTTGTTCCATCATGTGTGTTTTTGATGTTCAAGTGACTGTTGTACGTTGGTTTAGACCTTTTGAAATGAGTTTGGTGGATTGAAGATCAGTGGGTATCAACTAGAATTTGAATATTTGAAGTTTGGTTTGAAAATTAGATTTATTGTTACTGTACCTCTTCGGTTTATTATTTTTGTAAAGACTCGTGTGGGCCGAATTTGAAGTTATGTTCCCCACAAAAGTTGTTCCCCACAAAAGTTGTTCTTCACATCTTGAAGTTTAACATATTTTAAATCTGGAATTTTTGAAGGTCATTTGGGTCGCACAAAAGCCCATCTTCAAACCGTGTGTAAACTGCCTGAAATGTTGTTTCTCTGACCTTCTTGTCTTTTCGATTTTTTGAGGATTTTCAACAAGTTTCATTCACAAAAGTTGTTAAGGATTTTTCTGTCTATGACATATAAAAATTTCGAAGCTTGTTAAGGTGATTTGGGTACTGAAAGAGATATATTTTGAGGAATGAGTAGTTTGTTTTAACGAGTTGATTTCGGTCTGACTTTGAGTGATAAAAAGACATGATTACAGATTGAACTGGGTTTTGTGCTCTCATAAGAAATGTTTACCAAGGTGTTTTCTGTGATATATCCAAAATTTATAATTTTTGGAGTTCGTTTACTATTTATTTTGAAGGAATTTTGGTTACGGTGCAAGCTACCCAGATTTACCCCAATTTCAAGGATGCACTATTTTCTTTCATGTGTGATCATTTTAGTACATTTCTATATGTGTGGCATTTAGATGTTCTAAGTGCGTGAGCATGAAACACTCTTGCATTGGCTAAGTGGAAGATAATAATTGGCTTGAGTAATTGATATGCTTACTTGATCACATAAATGGTTCCGTACTCATATGATTGCGAGGGACGATGCCCGATGGATTTCGGTTGCCATTCGTGGATGAATTTCGGAACGAAGCTCTTGATTGAATGCCGTCTTCGAGGGAGGTCAATTGACGAAGCCGTGCCCGATGGGGCGGGATGATGCCCGGTTACGCCGGAAGACCACCGACGTGAGTGTCGATCGTGGCCCTGAGCGGTCGTAATAATCAAAACACGTGTGGATGCATTGTGCATTATTATGTGATATGAAGTATTCTTGATTACAATGTGTACTTGTCTCATGCCATTTAGAAGTGAGGCTTCGCGTGTGATTTATTTGTGTGAATGTTATGTACCGACGGGAGGTAAGAATTCATGTGCAGCTATTGGATTGTGTTTGGCATGTTTTCGAGGCGAGGTACCTTCCTACTCGAGGTTTAGCGGTTCCGCTTATTGAGTTTTACTCATTTGTTGTTGTTCACCTCTTTTCAGGCCTCTAGATTGGATATTTAGACCGTGCATTTTGGTGTCCCCGTGGACCAAGACGTTGAGGTGGTTGAGTTTGCAGCACCGGGGACCGACATCGTGTACGAGGAGTACATGATGATGACCATTTGGGTCGACGATGTGTTCTTTTTGAGATAGCCCTCATGAATAGAGAAGCTAGGTCTAACCCCCGCCCTTTTGTTGTATCGGAAAATGCATGGAGTAACGGGTTTGTATTTTGCTAACGTCCGATGGTTATCAATGCATATATATACATATATATATATATATATACATATATTTATCAAGTATGCTTTTGGTGATTGTGTTTTTCCTGGTTATCTCTGTTGTTGTTGTTGTTGTTCTTGGTTGGATGATGTTGTTTACGCTTCCGCATGTGCTAGTTCGTTAGATAACGCAATGGGTCGGCGACGCCTCCTGGGACGTTGCAATTAAATGACCTATGTAAGAGAGGTGTCGCGCTCCCGAATTTTGGGGAATAGGGCTGGGGCGTGACAAAACTCTCTGCCTTTTCACATATTTGACCAACACCAACACGTAATTAAATTACGTATTTAATTGGTTTGCATAATCAGACTCTCCACGCTTAAATTTCGTGTCAACAGCTACTATCAGTCAGTACTAGTAGTTTGTGAACTTTTATCAATTCGTAGCATCATACTTGAATTTTCAATTTGTTCAATTAAATCATTTTTTACTAATGTGCAATGTCTTCTGAGAATTTTTCAGTTGGTCTGCTTTCATCCCTAATATATCTTAACATGTTCATTGTCATCTTAGCATTAATTAATTATTTGAATGAACTAGGGCATGGACACCCATTTAATAAAGCGGATGTTTGATGGAGAATACGTGGATTTTGTGCATGTCCGGCTTTTTTGTTGCTGCTGATGCTGCTGTCCGTGTGGTCGGTCTTTTCGAACTCAAATTTGAAAAGAAAAGGTTATAATCGAAATTATCTTCCAAACATTATGTTCGCAAAAATATGTGCTGGACATGAGAGAGCTGCTAATATAGACTGCATCTGAAATTTGTGCATGGTGACGATTATCCCGAGAGGGCTAATATTAGATTGCACTTGAAATTGTTTGTGCTGAAGACTGTCCATTGGCTTCTCTATCTTTCATTTATGATTGTGGTAATTCCATCCTCCGGAGCTCTCCTGCATGTTTTTGCATCTCACTTTGCTGCTTCAACAACGTGTCAGTTTGTTACTTCTGGTCTTTCTTTTGCTGTAAATGTTTGACGGGTGACTAGGCCCAGGGGTCCAAAAACTCCGAACAGGAAAAGGGTTGAATAGCTTGGCACAAGTTATGCTTGGTTAGGGATCAATTCATATACAACCGTCATGTTGCCAAGTTGCCTTCTATGAGATTGTCGAGA